GGGGGGGGGGGGTGGGCAGAGAAGAAACAAGACTGGCAGAATGCTGCGAAGTGCTGAAGCTGAAGGACGGGCCCAGGGATTTATAACGCTTTTCCCTTTTGTGTATGTTTAAAATTTTGTACTATAAAAAGTTTTCTTTTCAATCCCAGTTCCATCATATATTAGCTAAATGGCCTTAGACAAGTCATTTAACCTCTTGGAACAGAAAATAACACTCATTCTTGTAGGATGTTATCAGGATTGAAACAAATGACCTATGGAGAACACTGACCACTGGAGTCGTGATCATGGTTAACTAACCATGGATAACCATGGATAAGCTAACATTTATTGAACACTTGTACTTCCCATGTTTCTTATTCAATCCTCACAACCATCCCTTGACATACGTACTATTATCCTCCTTTTCCAGATGAGTAAACTGAGGCATAGAGAATTTAAATAACCTGTTCGAGGTTACACAGTAAGAGGCAAACTCTGGAGTCCCACTCAGCCCTCATGTTCTCACACTGTGCTACTGTCCCACGTAGACATTCAATAAATGGTGAGAGATTTGGGTTATTTTTTAACACTTATAGAAACACAACTGATATGAACATACTCTGGCAACCACATAATATATAAAGAACATTAGGACAATCCAATGGATTGGTCTTCTCTAAAATTTATTTCTACTACGAAACAAACCACGTACCTGTTAAGGGCAGACGTTAGCCTGAACCCAGGGTGCTTTTCTTCTTTCCAAGGAGGCTGCTGCCTTTAAAAACCAGAATAAAATAAAAAGAAAAGAAGTTCAATCCACAGGGAGCAAGGGAGAGCCTCAGGCCTGGGTTGACAATGGCTCTTCTATCTACCAGCTCAGGAACCCAAGGAAAGTCGCTGCGGAGTGCTCTGCGTCTCACTCCCTCTGTCATCCTTGTTAAAATGAGGTCAAGCTGAAGGATCTCTCCAGTTCCTATGATTTCTGATTCCATGATGAAAACTGTCACAGCCTTGAGAACAGGATTAGCCAGCTGGGCACATAACAAATGTTTGTTTGTTTGTTGTTTATTTTAAGAAGGGCAAACAAACACCTCTGAATGTCTTTTGAAATTGTTCAAATCTATGACCAACTCCTCTCCAGGGGGTGTAAGGCGTGTGTGTGTCTCCAGGGAGCCCTGGCGATCCTGGATGCAAAAACTTTGCATTTTCATACAGATGGCCATGAACAGAAATATAAATGTTATAGTTGCCCAGTTTATGAAAATATTAATCTAACTAATCCTAGAGCTCTGGAAAGCATAAGACATTTTTTCTTGGATAGAAATTTTTTAAATATCAGTTTGGAGATGTCTTTTTATGATTTCAAATAAAATACTGTATTAATCCTACAACCTTGGATGCCAAGATTCTTGAGGGTAGTTGAAATCTACTTGAGGTAGGGGCCAGATGTTACCCATCTGCACGCCAACCTTGGCCAGGTCCTGACTACCTACAGTAAGGGTCAGCCAGTGCTCGCTCAGAGAATGGATGGCGAGTAGACCTCAATCCGGAGAGCTCCACTTTTCAATATGTACATTTCAAATGCCTCCTAAGTCTGACTTCGTGATGTGAAAATGATACTACATACGCAATGGATGTAGCAGTCTTTTCAGTTTATTTTATATTCTATCACCCTCTATGCTCAAAACTACTCATTTTTTTTTTGTACCCATACTCTATGTACAAAAATACTCAAAGAGACCCTAAATCAAGTCCTCTGTGCAAATTACCATTTTAGGAGCTTACTAAAGCTTTTGTTCCTTTCAGTAGCTTACTAATACACCCTGAGAAAAGAAATTTATTTTTCCACATCTCAAATATAAGAATACCAAATCAGAGTATTCTATTAGTAAATGTATTTGAAACGTGTTTCTATTTGGTTTTAAATATGAAGATCTAGATTTATTCAAATAACTTTTCATTTTAGACTTTCATATAACCCTACGATTATACATGCAAAGACTTAAGTTTTATAAGAGAAAACAAGATTCTATGCTTTATATTACAAATTTCTAAAACAACATTCAAGGTGGATAAAATAAAGTAAAACCATCCAAAATAACTCATGCCCATCATATTTTTTAAAATACAGCTTGCTTACCTTGGCCAACTCTCATCCAGGGGCTGTGAGGAGTAAATGCCTCCAAAAGTACTACCATCAAAGTAGAATTTTTAATAAAGGAAAAATAAAATTAATGGAAAGGTGAAGCAGAATTAAGAAGCTGGAAGGGTGGAGAGTTAAACAACTGAGTTTTCGGTTCTTATCTGTTTCTCTACATTCGACAGCTCTTCCTCTGCGCTTGCTCTTATCCACTTCCTCTGCCAAGTCTCTTCCTCCATCTTCTGACCAGCGCTGTCTCTGCATGATTCATGTGGGGTGTTTTTCTTTGCCTGCCCAGCATCTTTTATTTTCAAGAACTCCATCCACCCCTACCCACACCTGGGAAGGCTGCCATGCTGTGCAGGCCTTCTTGTCCCACGGGATGTCCCCAGGTCAGTACTTTCAGGTACCTTATCCCCCTGGAAACAGTGATTTGTTCAGGGATGGGCTCAGGACACAAACAGGACCAAAAACAGTGCTTTTGAGGGGAAAAAAAGGATTGCCCCCACTTGAAGTGGTGGGCCCGAGGACCAAGTGAACCTGGGTTTCTCTCCTTGGAGAAAGCCTGTCTACGCATGGAGTCAACACAGACGTAGCACCTCACAGATGCAGTCTGAGTACGACTGTGCGAGCCCCTGGATGTAGCCCTCCGGCTTCCAGTGACATAAGCCAGTAAGTTTCTTTTTTTCAAGTTAAGAGGGTTCCTGTTACTTATAACCAAAAGAGAGCTGCATGCGATTTGTGAAGAAATGTTAACTTCCTTGGGTTGTCAGGGGCTCTGTTTTATAAACTGCATTCTCCACTGGGTCTAGCAAGCCTTAGAACATATTCCAGATGCAGAGAGAAACAAATGTGATCCTGCACTATACACGCTGAGTGTAGCAGAGCCATTTTGGTTAATTTATTTAAATTATACCCAAAGAATAGTTTTCTTAAAACATTTTAAATCATGCTATTCTGCTAAAAAATCTTCAGTGATTCCTTATAAAAGAAGGCATCATCTCCTTGGGCTCAGGAGGAGATGGGAGCCTTGATGGACAGAGGATCATGCAGGCCTGGGCTGGGCATCCCAGGTAAATACAGAAAGTGGTATTAGTAAAACACGGCACTAACGCGTTCTTAATGGTTTAGTGTAAGATGCTAATCCTTTGCCAGGAGAAGCATTTTGATCAAAAGTCTCACTTTCTGTGTATTGGTTGAGTCATATCTAGTTTTCTTATTTCTTAATCTGAATCTACTCAATACAGCAAAACAGATATTTACAAAAGACAGATACTTCTTCAACATTAACTACTAGGCTTAATGTATGTGGAGAACAGATGAAAACAGACCACAGGAGGAGACAGAAGAGGAAACAGTGACAGAGAAACAGGAGTCTCTCTGAGAGACCCAGCATGCCAGTATTTTAGGCAGCAGAGCCATTAGGGAGAGACAGTGAGTCTGATCACCTGTGGTTATCTGCCTCTCCCTTTTCAGCAGTCTGATGAATCTCTGTCCAGAAAGCTTAATGTCATAAAGCAGATGTTTACCACTTCTCTCAGCACACTGCCATCTTTAAAGTCAGTAAGTCCAATTATCCAGTACTGGTAATACAAGTTAGAATGCAGTGAGGTAAGAGTAATGTAATAATCAAGCACTGATTGTTTCAATGTTGAGATGTTAGTGTTTTAGCTTTTCTGATGTATATCAACAACATGAAAATGTCGTAATTTCCTTAAATTTTTACTATGACTAAGCTGAGGCATCAAAAGTTAAAAGATGTGGGCTGGCCTGGTGGTATAGCGGTTAAGTTTGTGCGCTCCACTTCAGCGGCCTGGGGTTCACCAGTTCGGACCCCAGGCGCAGACCTATGCACCACTTATCAAGCCATGCTGTGGCAGGTGTCCCACATATAAAATAGAGGAAGATGGGCACACATTAGCTCAGGGCCAATCTTCCTCAAAAAAAAAAAAAAAAGATGTGACCTCTGAGCTCTCTCAATTCTCAGTGTCACAACTCATTTAATGGATATTTAAAAACCCAAGAACAGTTGGCATCAAGAGAACCATTAATGTTATTAGCTTACAGTTAAACTCAACAGAAGGAAAACCCAGAAAAGGTTTATTTGTTCTTCTGAAGATGTTAGAAAACTTCACTCAAATGGCTTTAATTACTCCACCACACTGATAAGTCCTAAAGAACAACTTAAAGACAGAAGAAATACCCTTATTTATAAACTTGAATTTACCATTTATTTAACATTTTTGGAGAGCCTGCCAGTTGCCAACAAACAGAAGAGCAGCACAGGTGACAGGTTTTTAACAAGCCAGACCAGCTCCTTATCCATTACTGCCTTAGTTAGTTATGCCTAGGTTAAAAAACAAGCCCACATTACCACGGACCTTTTTATTTATTCCCATGTGCACTCCTTGTCAGCTCCTTTGCTGGTTCCTCCTTCTCTGCCTTCAGTCCTGATGTTCCCCGAGTTCTGTGGCCTCATGGCCTCTCAGCCCACATCTGTTTGCATTGCTCTCAAAGGAACAGGATGAGAAGGGCCTCCAAATCACCGGGTACCACCGAGAGTGGGAGCCAGGAAGGCAGCTGCAGACTCTGGGCAGACACTTTGGGAAGAGCACCCTAGAAGACTCTGAGAGCTGGTACCCACCCCTACCTCCATGCTTGCCTTGGTCAGTCCCACCCAAGTCTTTGGCTCCAACTATCACCCATAGTCCAGTAACTTACAAATCCATACCTCCAGCTCCCAACAACTCTCATGAACTCCAAGTCCATATTTCCCATTGCCTACTCGGCTTCTCCACCAAAATGGACCTCAAATTCCACCTAAAACCCAAATAATCATCCTCCCTCTCATCTGCTCCTCTCCTCATAGTCCGTCGTATCTAACGGAGGGTGCCATCTACCCAGGTGCTTCAGTTGGAAATCTCAGTCATCCAGCCTGTGCTCTCTCTCTCCAAGTGCCTGCGGTTCTGCGCAGGAAAATCCTTCTCCTGTTCCTGCCTCGATCCACTGACAAGGGGACTCCTACTTCTACTCCTTCTCAACTTGAGGAGTCTGAGAGGGCAAGTTCTTACTCACTCTTCTCCAAAGGAAGGGGAGGAGCTCTTCTGTTGGTAAGACAGGACTCTGTGGGCCCACTTACCCGTGGGGTCATGGAGACAGAAGCTCCAAACAAGCTTCACCCTGTCTCCCTGCTGCCGCCTCAAGGCTGTGAGCTTAGCCAGGGTTCTTCCTTTGGCTTCCTGTTTCCGCGTGATGAGTGCACCTGGGGCAGCTCAGGAACTGCCTTCTAGAAGCAGCCTGGAGGCTGGCTGTTTTCTCTCCTACCCTCTGGAACTCTGTGTCCTATCAGGGGCAGTTTGTGGGGCAGGTCTGTGACCTTCCACGCAGCTGGTGGAGTAAGTGAACTCAGAGTCTGCTGAATAGAACCTATCCACCAAGATGCATTCCGAGTCAGATTTAATACAGAAAACCGGGCACAATTTGGCTCCTTCCTAATTTCTCAAGCATGTCTTCCCCACCACTCTACTTCCTCTTGTCCCTTTGCCTCCAATTTTGTCCTGCTAGAAAACATCTTAAAGTCAAATTTTAAAGCAGGCATATGAGTGGGGTCATTTTGACTCTGCATATACGAGAAGTTTTTCCTGTTTACCTCAGCACATGGGTGACAAACAGGTTGCATGTAGAATTTTGAAGTCAGAATATTTTTCCCTTAAAACTCTGAAGATTAGCATTTCCTTGTCCTTTGCGATGGAAATCTCTAATGGGTGTTAGGTTAAAAATTGGGGTTTGTGATCAAATAAGTTTTGGAAACACTGGGTTAAAGATAAGATGTTTCTTAACCGCAGGGCTTCTCAGAGCCCTAATATAAACTGGGAAGCTCCAAGAGGGAACAGGGAGTACGGTGTTTCTCAAAGGTAACAGGCCATGCATTTCACGGAAACAGAGTTCTACAGACCAACGTCCTAAAATTTTCATCTCATTCTACGAAGACAATCAAAGCAAGGCCTGTTCCAAAGAGGAAAGCCATTCCTAACATTGGCAGGTCTTAAGAAATCTCTCCATGACTGTCCATGCCAGTTTCCTAGATATACCCTCAAACAGTGTTGGGAATACAAATCAGAAATTTTCTAAACACTTGTTTTTCTTTCTAAAACACACTTCTTTTAGAGGAAAATATTTTCCATGATTCTTCTGCATGTCCCCTTCTTTTTCAGTGTATTACCCACAGGTCTGAGACAAGACTACATTTGCTGCAAATTGATGTTAATAGTTCAGAAACTCAACAAGACAGTGTTTGGGACACACATTTGCTGCCCTTGAGGAGTGAGGAGAGAGGGCTGCTGAAGACATAAGCGGCTGGAGGAAGGCAGAAGAGCTTCTATCCAGAGTTCTCAAGCCCAGGCCCCAGCCAGCCACCAGCCCGAGCAGTGCCTTTCCTCTGCCTCGAGTGCAGCCCGAGGACTGGGCCCAACTGCAACAGAGCCCTGGTCTTTTCTTTTGGTGGCCACCCAGGCCAACAGAAGCCCACTGCACTAGTATTCTGTGCACTTATGGCCGCCCACTGCAGAAGGAATCTCCCTGGGCCAGAACTCTGCTTGTGGCAGCTGCCCACTCTGGGAGGAAGCTGGAATATTTTTTAAACAATATGCATTTTATTTGAGATCACTGTATCACAGGACTGAACCCTTGTCTAGGCCAGTTTGCCTGTTCTAAAATAACGCCCAAGCCAAGAAACAACTGTAAGAAGAGAATCTGAATGTTTTTTTCTTCTTGATCTAACAAAGATTCAAACCAGTGTTAATACTTTCAAACAATAAAACTTCATTAAGGGGATAATAGACAAGTGTGAAAGGCAACCATTTTAAGCAAATTATTTCCCAACGAACAGAATGCAGGCCATGGAAGGAAAGATGGTATCACAGACCACCTCCTCCAAGTCCTCCTAAACATATGAATATCATCACCTAAACATATTAGTATCATCTATATAAAATCATCCTACTTTTATATTTTACTAGGAGCTCATGGCCCCTTGATTTCTCCAGAGACTCGCTGTTCATTAAAGGGCAGGCCTACACTAAGGGACCTTTTTTGCATCAGCAGATGCCCAGTCCCAGGACCCAATTAGGTGCTTAATAAGAGAACGTGAAGAGATGTCTCATGGTCTGTGAACCAGACTTGCACTCTCTGATGAACAACTTTAATTTTTCTGTATATTAATTTGGTTTTTGCCTCTCCTTCCCTTACGAGTTGATCTGCTTTGCTCCTGCTCTCACAAGTTGACCCATATATAGGGTCAGGTTATGCCCTATGATAAAAGACCGAGTCCTCTGAACACACAGTGTAGTCTCCTTCCTGGACTTTGCACAGCTATTCCCTCTGCTGGGAACACTCCCTCTCCAGCTGTCTTCCTCTCTCGATATCGCCTACAACCATCTGAAGCTATTTTTCTTAATGTTTTTTTTTGCCTGTTTGCTGTCTGTCTTCTTGCACAGGATTGTAAACTCAAGAAGGCAGGGACACGTCTGTCTTATTCACTACCGAGTCCCAGTGCTTAGAACAGTACCTTGCACAGAAAAGGGGCTCTGTAAATATCTGCTGAATAAATGAATTTATTATCCCTTACTTCTTACTTATCCTTCAGGCCTCAGATTTTCCTCCCGGATGCCTTCCCCATCCCCATCAGACTGGTTTAGGCTGCCCCTCCATGAGCTCGCACAGCCCCTGAGCTGCCTCAACTACAGCTCCCCACACCATGCATGACCCCTTCTTTGCCCAGCTGCCTCTCCCCCTGAACTAGGAAGAACTTGAGGCGGGGGTCATATTGTCTTCGCCACTGTATCTACGGTGTCTAAAATGGGGCCTGACACTAGCAGATATTTAAATCATTTTTCAGTGAATGAGCATTCTTCTCTGTCACTTTTCTTCAATCCTCTCCTTTTCTAAGTTATTCCTTTGGTTAAAAAAGCTGTGGGTATATGTATATATGCAGACTACACTTGCTGCAAAAAGGATCTGGGATAGCTATAAATATATAAATAGCTATAAATACATATAATATTTAGAGAGAACAACTACAAGAGAAAGAGGGAAATGAGAAATCAGAAAAACACATATTGTTAAATCAAGCAAAGAAATACTGTCTTTTGCTTGAAAATTCCAAGCAATTTAAACAATGGTTTGACGTACTACTCCGCCCACACACTGTGAATTAGCTGAAGAATTGCCTCAATTCTCCTTTCCCTTTTGCATTCTATGTAAAACATTCTATGTTATTACACATTCCAGAAAGGAATTCTCAAAACCAGTTGTCATCTTCACTTTGCCAGATAATGGCCACATAATATACAAAACTGGAAGTCAGGGTATCTCGGTGGACCAAATGTAGTGTGTCCCTGGGGGTGGACGTGGGGGGAGAAATAAACGTTCCCTGGGGTCATTATCCTTGCCTCCAAATGGATGAAAACTGCAAGCTTAAGAACAAGAAAAGTAGCAGTTTCCTCTGTGTGTCCCCACAACTCCTCCCACACGGTCTCTCTTGCAGGTGGCCCTGGGAATAACTCAGTGGTAGAGGGAGGGGAGGGACCGGGGCTGGGGAGTCGGCTTGAGCTGAGCTAAACCTGGGTCCCTCCAACTTCAGCAGTGGAATCTTGGGCAAGTTACTTTGAAACTCAGTTTCCTCACTGGAAAATGGGGGTTAAAAAAATAAACTACTCAGTGAGTTTTGAGGACTAAATGACATAAAAATTGCCCAGCCCAGTGCCTGGCATGAGTAGGTGCTCAGTAAACAGGAGTGCCCTCCCCCCACTTCCTGGTTTCGATGCTTGTGAAGCCAGCTCTGCCATCACTGCCAGGAATTCAGCTCTGCAGTCAGTCTCGCCCCGCCTCTCTTCGCCTTCCTCCACCCCTGCCCGTGAAGAGCCGAGTGAGCGTACAGGCCCTCCTGGCACACTCACTCTATGTCTTCTCCCACAAAATCCATCTCAGTTCTGTGTCCCCAGAGCCCTCAGCACAAGGCTGGTCACCCATGAGCACACTCCTCCCCCGCCCCTGAGAAGTACTGGTCAAATAGAATTGTCAGATGAATTCACAGTCTCCTCTTTATTCCTACTTAACAGCACAGGGTTTGGTCTAAGTGTACATCACTGTACGAGAATGTTCCTAAATACCAGCTTTATATTTTAGTTGTCCTTTATTGACTTTGAAACTTCATAAATAGAAAATCAGACGAAATTTCTTCTGTAAGTTCCAAGAGCAGGGTCAACAGAAGTAAAAATAAATCACATATCTGAATATCTGTTTTAGTTGGACTAAATCCCTCTAACCTGATTTAGGGTCAGGTTTAACTGACATTGCTGATTTCTGAAGAAAATGCTGAAACAGCCTTGCAATGGGCTCAATTCCCTCTTGTTTATGCTCAGTTACTTCACCAAGCCAACGTTTTCATAAAGTAAGCATCTACAATGATCTTCCCAAGTTTTGCCCACAGAGCTGTTTCTAGTGTCCAACTTACTTATTTTTATTGCCTTCGTTCATCAGATAAAACGAAGATTTTAGGTCAAAACGGAATGGCAGGGAAGATAAATCCGGAAAACCTTGCAAACATTTCCAAACGTATGACCTCCTCAGACAATGAAAAAGGATATCTGTCGCCCTGGTTTGTCCCCAGACCGTCGGTGGAGGGGGTGGAAGCGGGTCCTGGATGGCCTCTCCACCAGCCCATGATGGCGAGTCCCCCGTAGGCTATCAGCTTGGTGAAAGGACGGCTGCAGAGAAAAGGGAAGAGGAGTTGGCCTGTGATCATGACATTGCCACTTACCTAGGAACAACGATGATAACAACAATAGATTAAAGATGGATTTTAATATTTTACTAGTGTACACAACTGTGCCTTAAGTCAAGGTGAATAAAACAACGCAGTACATGGAGCTGCTTCTACATAATTACAGAATAATTTAAAAGATTCTTTAATGTGTTAAGATGAAAGCTGACAGAATGATGTATGAAAAGCTGTCACAATTAGGAGTGGAGAATCAGGGGAATAGATTCATACATCAAATCCCAGAAACCAGGGGCTGGCTCGTGGCCAAGTGGTTAAGTTCGCGTGCTCCGCTGCGGCGGCCCAGGGTTCAGATCCTGGGCGCGAACATGGCACTGCTCATCAGGCCACGTTGAGGCAGCGTCCCACATCCCACAGCTAGAATGACCTGCAACTAAGATATACAGCTATGTACGGGAGGGGGGGGGCCCGGTTTGGGAAGATAAAGCAGAAAAAGAAAAAAAAATCCCAGAAACCAGGAAATACCCTTGAAAGTAAAAGAGGTATATTTAAGAAAGAAAGAAACTGGATAGCTACAGTACCCAGTATTCAGAAATACAGATACAGTATCCAGAAATAAAATGGGATACCTACAGACTCTGTGGTATTTGTTCTGCATGGTGTCTTTTCAAAATTTTTATTGAATTGACAATGTACAAAAATTCAGTAGGGGGGCGTAGCCCAATGGCATAGTAGTTAAGTTCATGCACTCTGCTTCAGTGGCCCCAGGGTTGTGGGTTTGGATCCTGGGCGTGAACCTACACACTGCTCATGAAGCCATGTTGGAGTGGCATCCTACACACAAAACAGAGGAACACCGGCACAGATGTTAGCTCAGGGTCAATCTTCCTCAAGCAAAAAGAGGAAGACTGGCAACAGATGTTAGCTCAGGGACAATCTATCTCACCAAAAACAACAACAAGAAAACAGATTTGAGGCTTTTAGTAAAAAATCAGAACATCTTGGCCACACTAGTCCCACATTCCCAACATGACAATAATGGGCTGAACTTGAGAATGGCTGCTCTCTGTAGGTAGGGCACCCACTCTCATGCTTTTTATGCTTGCACCAGACCACTTCATTGACTCAAGATGTTAGACATTTGAGTTTGTAACCCCTGAGTTAAGGAGAGAAACAAGAATACTATCTAAATACAAGCGGAAAACATGCAACTTATTATTCCCAAAATGGCACAAACAAAAGCATAAACAGATTCAAGATAAATCCATGGTCAATAAATCCAAAATTCTTTATTAAGGGATGCTTGAGGTATATTCTTAACATTTTTTGAGATGGGTATCATAAAGGAAAACCTTTTTGGTTGTGAAAGACCAAATACCAGGCTGGACCATTATATCTCACATAATGGGGAAATGTGTATACATATTATGCAAGAGATGTGCTTGTGAAATATACAAAACCAGATTTTCTTTTAGGTAAACTGAACCATATGTGAAATAGGTAGTTACTATGAAAGGAATCCTATGAGAATATGTTTTTATAGGGGACCTTTCTTTAGCTAAGAATTGATCGCTAATTTTTTTGCTGTTAAACATGGATTTTCTCATACAGGATTTGGGAATTACTCCTATTTCTTTTGAGGGGGCTGATAAAATGTCTGAACTAGTTTAGTTTAGCAGTTCCAATCTATTTTTACAATTTAAATCTATTAACTCCTAAAATAAAGAGATCTAATAAAAGAACAACTTCTGGGCCTGGAAGACTAATATTCACTGTGACAGGTAAGCTGGACATTGATCTCAGACAAGAGAACACACTCTCTAGGGCATGACAAATTGAAACACCTTTGTTCATCAAGAGGATGCATACCCACAGCACACTTTATTATCAGAACCTGTTTACAAAATAGACATAATTAAGAGACAGATGACTTTGTTCCAGGATAAAAGAAAAGGGAGCATTCTCTGGTGATACGGTCACATATTCTCTAAAGTAATGTTAAATGTATTTGAAAACAGCACATTTTCATACGGGAGTCTTAGCACAACTACTGCGGCCTGGGCTCGTACAGCCCACCCTCAGAGGAGGGGGCTGAGGATCTTGAGAAGGGGTCCAAACAGCAGAAAGCACAACAGAAGAAACATCTTCTGGACTTCCTATCACACATGCGTTTTCTATTCACCCTTGCCTTGTCTGCACTAACCCTGCTGGCCCAAATCCTGTATTACCGCTTGGACTCAGTTTTGGGGGATAATCTGTGCTTACATTTGGTATTTTCTTCTCTTCCTCACTGTGGGCCAGCTTCAACTCTCTGCCCCTGTAGTAGTTGATCTGATCTTCTTCCAAACCATTTTTGGCTTTGGCCTTCTCAATTCACAGGGACCTGCCTTACTCATCAGATGAGCTAGAGCAGTTGTTCACTCAGGGAAGCTGGGCACTGGAGGAGGTTTCAAAGCAAAGGAGCCTGTCAAACACTACAGTGTTTGGAAGCTGGCCTAAGTCTCTGGGTCTCAAAAACGCTAGTGCGAAATGGACACATGATTCTCCTGGTTCCACCAATTGCCAATCTTTTGCTTGCTGAGGGCAAAAATTCTGTTATTTAAAAATGTATTTAAGTCAACTTTAAAACAAAAAAAAGAAGTAAAACCCTGCCACCCTGAAGGCAAGTACTTCATTTTTTCTGATCCTTTTCAAGTTTTAGCCATGGTTTTATCCAAGTTTTACATGGTTGTACTCACTTGTACATATATCTTTGTGATCTATTTTTTTGTACTTAATATTACTGTGTAAACAATTTTCCACATATTATATAATCCTTAGTCATTAATTCAATAATTATACAGTATTTCGTTTCTAATGTTCATAAAGCCAACATTCCATGTTCCAGTTCAAAGAACATGTGATTTGGAGTCAAAGAAACAGTTCAAGCCCAGGATCTTCCACTTACTAACAAGTTAACTTTGTCTTTCTTTTCTGTAAAGTAGAAATGATGATGTTGATAACTTCCTCACAGGCTTGTTGAGAAAACAAAATTAGATCATGTATGCGAACACTGCCTCATCCCAGGGATACTGGGTGCTATAGACTGAACTGTGTCCCCCAAAATCCAGAGGTTGAAGCCCTAACCCCCAATGAGAGTAAATTTGGAGATAAGGCCTTCAAGGAGGTAATTAAGGTTAAGTGAGGTTACAAGGGTGGACCCTGATCAAACAGGACTGGTGTCTTTATAAGAAGAGACACCAGGAGCACGTGCACACAGAGGAAGGGCCACGTGAGGACACGGGGAAGGCGACCACCTGCAAGCCGGGAATAGAGACCACATCAGAAACCAAGCCTGCCAGCACCTTGATTTTGGCCTTCCCAGCTCCCAGAACTGTAAGAAAATAAACTTCTATCACTTTAGCTACCCAGTCTGTGGTGTTCTGTTAGGGAAGCCTGAGCAGACTAAGACATTGGGCATTAGGAGGATGGATGTCCAAGGGGTGAGACATTAGAAAGAATCTTGTTAAAGGTGAGGTCATCCTACAGCCCTCTCATGGACAGCAGGCATCATCGTCAGGGGCTTCCCCAGCATTCTGAGACTCCCAAAGCCTCCCAAGGGACCTAGATTTCAGTTAAGCACCCACCTGCTGGCCATGTCATGTCACCTCTAAAGTGACAGCCTGGGATGAATGGCTGAAAAGAATGCTGGCAGGGCCTCATGACTTGCTTTGGCTAATGGCTCATGGGCAGACATGATGTACATCTTGTCCAAACAGAAACTCTCATGTTCTTTTCCTTCTGCCACGAGAATGTCATGTCCCAAACAGGGGATGTTCCTTCAGCCTCAGCTGCAGAAGGATAAGATACATGGAGAAATGAGCAGCAGGTGCCCTGCAGCCACCAGTAGGTAATATGAGTGAAAAATAAATGTTTGGGGAAAGTCCCAGAGTTCTTGGCTTGGTTGTCACTGCAGCAAAACTGGTTAATATGGTAGTGAAAGCAGAGAGAGACTGCACTGAGATGGAGAGTCTCATTTTTCTTGAAGAGCAACAAGGGAAGTGTAAAGTCAAAAGAACTGCAAATTGGTGCCTTGGTGTTTGAGGAGGGCCTCAGGCTCAGGCTGTGAAAAGCACCATCCTGTTTCAGAACACGGCACCCAGACATTAAAAGAAGAAGATAGGGCTCCCCCGCTTCCATATACAAAAGCTCCTCCACATCGATGCCTGGGATCTGGTGCTGACTACCCACAGGTAGGCCATCAGCAAGGCAAGGGCAACACAGAAGATGACTCTGAGAGAATTTCCAATAACATTCAAAGGGTTCACTCTGGGAAAAATCAGAATGTAGCTGAATTTCTTTACCTTTTTGTTTTCTTGTTTGTTTTTGGGTGGCTTAGTAGTTTTTATTTACTTTACTTATATATATATATAGGAATAGGAGGTCCATTATCTCTTCAGGGCCTAGGCCAACACAGGTCTTAATGTGGGCCCCTGGTACTAGGAAGCAGATGGGAATGGCACACTGGCAACGACAGTGCTCTCAGTGCAGCCCGAACACTGCAGAGGTGCCAGCACCAGCAGCCTGGCAGTGAGTTACCACCAGGAGGCTCAACCAGCAAGCTCAGCAGCACCCTCTGCTAGAGGGTGGGCTATCGAATTCTGTTTCACATTGTGACCTAATTGCCAGGGGCTGAGCAGGAGGAGAAATGACTTAGTGGTAACCCAAGGCAGGTGAAAGGTGCGTTCTGGGCGTTAAGTCACCAAATCTGAGAAAGGGCAGACTGAGGACGGAGCACAGAACACCAAGGTTCCATGCGCCTCAACACTGAAGCGCAATGGTGGGGGGCGGGGGGCTAAGGGTGATTCCTGAGTTGGCAACTAGATGGCTACAGCCAATTCTTACTTAGTTTATGTGGTTAGGTGTGGGGGGCAGGGAGGAGGCACAGCCAAAGTGGTTCAGGTACCTCTGGGAACTAGATCTCCACCTGCAGAGAGCTCCCACCTC